CACACACACACACACACACAGAGCTGGTAACTGTTTATAAAAAATCTAAATGAATCTAATTCAGGAGCTTTGCTGCGTCCACGTGGATGTTTGTGCCAAAGAAATCTCCTCCAGGTGTTTTTGAAACATTGTGTTCACACAGATGTGACAGACGACCTGAAAACATAACTCAGCTCCACGTCTCTCTACCTGATGACATCACAGGTGTGACACTTCCTCCTCTGGTTCCTGTCTCTGACAGACAGGAACTGATGTCCCCTGACAATAACTGAACTTCCTGTAAAGCATGATCGGAAGTGTAGTGCAGTGTGTCTCACCCCGTGTCCCTGATGTAACCAGTAACTGAGCCACCAGTAACTCAGAGCTGCATTTGTCATCAGCACGATGAAGAGGAGGAGGATGAGGAGGCACACACAGTATCCTGCAGGAAGAATCCACACACAGGCTTTTATTTTGAAGGGCCACTCTGTGTGTGTGTGTGTGTGTGTGTGTGTGTGTGTGTGTGTGTGTGTGTGTGTGTCCTGACCTCCAGCAGCCTTACAGTACTGATGAAACGTTCTCCAGGAGATCAGTCCGTCTCTGCTGTTCTCCTGATTGATCAGCTGATCGGCAGCTTCATACAACAAACAGCTGGTTATTGATCATGTTATTGATCCATTATTGATGACTGATTGTGTGTAAACATGACAGCTGTGTGGAATGAAGCTGGCCTCAGCAGGTTTAGAAACTCACGTTTGCTGTCAGCTGACGGAGCATCCAGGTTCTCGTCCGACGCATCAAAGGCTGAAAGGTAAAAAACAGGAAGTCACAGTCACACACTGCTTCCTGTTTATTGATTATCAGGACCTGAGTCCACACAGAGTCTTTACTTTTAATTGTTCCCAGTGAGGACAGAGTGTATCAGGCTGCATACAGACGCCTGGAGCGCCACTCTCAACATCTGTTCTCAGAGCGCTCCGCCATTTGTCTGCCGCTGCTCTAAACGCTTTAAGCTTAAGGTCTCTGAACGTTTCAGGAAGGCGCCGGTGATGTCACTGCTGCTTCTTCAGCTCAGCTGCCATCACAGCAGAGAAAGAACAGCTCATGTGTCAGGAGTAGATCGGCCGGAGGACTCTGATTGTTGGGCTTTAATCACAGTAAGCTCAGAACTGTGTCAGCACTCATCACATTAGCTGCCTAGTGAACGTCTAGTGGTGGAGAAAAAAATCCATACAGCAAAGTATCATGATAATTTAGTGTGGCAGCATCGTATCATCACACAATGCCAAGTATTGATTTTTTTATTATTTAAGTTATCAATATGACAAATTCAAATTAAACCTCAGGTAGCGTAATAGAATAATATAATCAATTACTTTTTCAGTCCAACAGATGAACATTTAGTTGCTAATAAAAACAGACTGAAAACTTTATCTGATTACATAAAAACGAATGTTGAAAAAAGGTAATAAATATTAATAATATATTTGATTATATTTTCATGTTTATTGAGCAACAGTTTTGTGTGACAGGAATTAAAGGCCTGTCTCAATTAAAGGCCTGTCTCAAATAAAGGCCTGTTTCAATTAAAGGCCTGTCTCAATTAAAGGCCTGCTGAGTTCACTCATTTAATCAAATAATAACCTGGGCTATAAATTGAAGCTTTATGGGATTAAAAATCACAGCGATATTATATCATGACAATATCATGTTGAATCCCAGCCTACCTAACGTCAATAACTGGCTTTCCATCCAAATGTATCGCAAATTTTAAGCGAATTTTGTGAAAATGCGCAAAAGAAAACGCAAATTTATGCACGTTTCCATTCATTATTGTTTTGTGAGTATTGGGAGTCAACAGGTCGAGCAGAAGGTGGCGCTTCTCATGAAAAATAAAAATGCAAAA